AAAGTAGTTAATATTATGTGATGCATCACTACAGACGTATATAGAACATTTCAAATATAAAATAAAGTTCAAAACAAGTAGTTAAATGAAAAGTTAATATTAACGCGAACCATCCAAAACATTAAGTTAAATTGTAATAATATTACAAACAAAATCTATGTTTATGTATCAAAATTCAAATACAAAAGTTATATTATATCACAAATGAAATAATAAAGATGACAAACAACCAGACAAGACTACTATTATAGGTACAAAATGAGATGGATTGCATAAACCAAGTCCCTGCTCGGGCGCCAATTTTAATAGAAAAAAATATATGAACTAGTGTCAAATGTAATATTAAAAAATGAATTTTTGAAATGGACAGGCCGAAATCAATTAAAAAAGAATATTCGGGCGCCTGGACTGTACCATATTATTAGCCGGGAGAGCAATGAACAATTAATCGCAAGGGGAGCTTAGTGCAAATCCATATTCATTTTGGGTTGTCAATTTATTTAAATGGATGGACCAGTAATCCAAAAGGGTTAAAAGCTGCTAAATTTTGAAACTAAGACTAAGATGTAAGTGAAAATGTTATCTTTAATATGGGGGGCCGATACACAATTATAAATTTAGAAAATTACCGACCTCGTTGCATCTTTGGAGTTAAATATGTCTGGTGTTGCAAGTATGTAAGGGATGGCCGTTGTTACATCCCGTGGGTTCACCTCCACATCGAGGTGAAGTGAAATGGAGTGACATTAGTCTTTTCTCAAGTTTGTTTTCTCTTGCCGGGAAGGCAAAGAGAACAACGTCCATTCAGCCTACTGCTTGATAAAGTTAGAAACATAATAATGAAAAGTGCACAGATTAAGGAAAATGGACGCGAGATAAAAACGACCAGAGAGACAACCAAAAAAAATCTTCTATCTCGCTCTTCGAGCGAAGGAGATCCATGTAACGTTTTTAACACGTTACAATTTGTAACAAGTATTAGTTTTTTAAAAATCTTTTATACATTTTCCACAAAAAGGTTTTTTACATATGAAATCACCGTGCGGTCAAATTGACTGCCTTGGTCTTTCCAGTGTTAAAAGAAACAATTAATTATGTACATGATTGCTACTCCATACGTTGTTGCTTATGAATCTTTATAACTTCCGCACTGTTGCTAGTGCCATGATTACCCATCCAGTAAAATACTATTAAGCAGTGAAAACGCACATCGAGCCCCAAATGTATGATAATGAAAGTAGTTTAAATGTTATACAAATTTAAAGTACGTAGTAACTGCAGTTAAGGTTCAATTTGCCTTGTAGAAGAAAAAATAACAGGTGCAAAGGTGATCACATGTTTTAGATTTGCATATTTTAGTATATATATAAATGTGTAATTCATTGAAATGCCATAAGTAACTGATTATATTAAAGATTATGAAAACTCCATAACTGAAGAATTTGTATTCAAAATCAAACTTTATTATAATCATATGCAATATGCTTAATATAACTGAAACCTACAAAATTCGAACAGACCCAGTTTGTTCTGTGTTTACAGAATTTAAAGTGATTTGATTTAAGAAAATGGTTATTGTAAGTAGAAGTTACAATCATCAAAGATCATAAACAAAAAAAATCACTAACATTTTATGAATATGTTACAGCGAATACAACATGCTTGCCAAATTAAAAAAAAAATTGTGTAAAAATACAAATGTGTTCATAATAATTGTTAACTAATTTAGATATATTTGGTTACTAGTGGCCTGCCCTCGCTTCGCTTCGGTGTAAAGCTGTAGTGTAGAATTAGATTTTTTCTCATCTTTTCAACCTTCCCTAGACCTCCACGAACATTTCAAGACCAAGATAAGATAAATCCGTTCAGCCGTTCTCGAGTTTTAGCGAGACGAACGAAAAGCAATTGATTTTTATATATATAGGGTGAAATTGAATGTTTCTATGAAACTTCGTGAGAATGTTGGGTTACGTGTATAGAATATGCCTGATTTTTTTCGGATTTTTTAAAATATTTTTTTTCGTTTTTTAATTATTTATTTGGTTATTTTTTTGTCATTTCTTCCTTATGAGTAATTATTCATTTTAAACACGTCTACATAAAAGTTATACAGCAACTTAAAATAAGCACTCCTAAAAAAACGGAAACTTAATGAATGCCTCCAGTCGAGATCAGCGCCGGCCGCCGGGGTGACGACCGGCGGCCGCCTGTGTAGGTACCTACTACACGCACAGATGACTCGACGCTTACCTACTCTCCGCTTTGATTCCACACTATTTAAAAACATTACAATAAAATATTCTTAGATGCTATATTATAATTATTTATTCACTGATACACAATACCTTTGAATATTATTTCATAAAGCACAGGTAATTAATCAATAAAATAAATCTTCTGTTAGAGCAATTAAAAATCCTATAAAGTTAATATGACTGTCACGATTTTAAATCGGTAAAGCCTGTCTGTTAGTGTAAGAACTTCTTTTTTATTGTTAATGTTAGTCGCCTCGTTTAATTAAAACTTAAGCACAAACGGCTTATTTAAAATTGGGAAAAATCATAGAGAGCAAATCGGTATGACTTACAAGCTTAGTGAAGGAAGGAACTCTTCGTGTCTGATTTGCCCACGTCATGAAATTCCGAACACATTTAATCACAGCCACAGTCACACACACACACACATAATAATATGTTGTTTTGCGGCAAGCACGGGAGGGCGGCGCGCCGTACGCTGGCAAGAAACATGCAGCGCTAGCGCCGGTTGCGGTGTCTTTGATGATGTGAATTCCGCCCACCTCCCCTCTTCCCCGCACGCGGTGGTTTGCTTTGATTGCATGCAAAGCGCAGTCGCAAGTATATCAATCGCGCGTGGGCGTGCGCATCTTTTGACTTAGTGACATACACTGGGATAATTTCATTATGCCTCGGTATACGAACCAAAAATATTTAGAGATGGTGTACTGCTATCGCGAGTGTGACAAAGTAGGTTTGGTTTACGAATGAGTCCCCAAACCATAGAAGTTGCATTTTGTGCAGTGAGTAGTGATAGGGACACTTTAAAAAAGGTGAAAAGGCACGTCCGCAAACGTGCCTACCTTTGTTTGCAGCAAATTGGTGGTTTAGAGCAACAATTTTGCAGATAATAATTTAAGTCTCTTTTTATTGCTAGTGAAAATACTTTTTGATTAGAAACAACTAATTGTGTACTACCAGTGTGATTGATTTGATAAAAGTTCTAGTGAAAAAAATGAATATGTTCCTCGTTCCTCGTTGTACCCACCTACATCGCCGGTCTCGTAAGTACTTTTGAATACCTGGTTATAAATTTCATTCTGACCCAAGTATTGAACTGCAATAAGTATTTCTTTTTGTTTAACATTTGCCTATTTCCAATCGTGACAAAATTATTATTAACTTTTAAAGTTTTTCTCTGCTTAAGGGAAGATGACATTTGTGCTTATTATTTCAATTTCAATAAAGGCATCTAAGACGATTTTATTGTATTGTGTGGAATCAAAGGAGTCAGCTGAGCTCTGTGTAGAGGTACCTACTCACTCAACGGCTGGCGGGCGCGGTCGGTCGTTGACCCGCGGTGGAATTTTAATGTTTTTCCGTTTTTTAGAAGTGCTTATTTATTAGTTGTTTTTCACTGGATATGTAAGTTTGTTTGTTTAAAATGAATAACTACTCAAAAGGAGGAAAGGACATAAAAATACACAAATTATAAATAAATACATGAAAAAAATATACTTCAAAAAAATCCGAAAAAAATCAGGCATACTCTATACACGTAACCCAACAATCTCACGAAGTTTCATAGAAACATTCAATTTCACCCTGTATAAATATAAAAAAAATGTGTCTTGTTTGAGTAGTGGAATGAAAGTATGCTAACAAGTCGTTTGCCTACAAAATCCCGCGAACAATATATAAAAGCTTAATATGAATATTTGATCCTTTGGAATAATGCAAGAAAGATTTTCCATAAAATGTGTTTTTGGCCAAAACAAAACCCGTTCAAAATTCTTTATTATTCCTTTATCTATTACACTTCTATATTGTTTTAAACTTTCATGGTCACTAACATTATAGTAATATAAGTTATTTACGGGATTGTTACCATGTACCTTGTTTTTAGCGAGTTTCCGATATTTCGGCACTGTTGCAAGCGCCATGATCACGGAGTAACTCGCTCGCTAAACTCGCTAAAAACAAGGTACATGGTAACAATCCCGTAAATAACTTATATTACTATAATATTACACTTCTATTACTTCGATCAACTGTGGTTTTTGTACAAGCGTAACTGCTGTCCTGCGTGGAATATTGCTCGCACCTCTGGACTACTTACTCGATGCTCGACCATTATTGGCGACGAAGAGGTGTCTAAACACCTCGAGCCTCGTTACTAAGAGCGTTTTATGTTCTATACCACGGCGAGTGTTACAAGGAGTTATTCTCCCTTATCCCACCTCCCCCTTTCCTTCAGATGACCACGCGTGCTGACCTCATTGTCTACTTAATACCGACTTACTATTCCAACGCGAACAAAGAAATATGGCGACTTATTTCTTTGTCGTACTATCCACAAAAGGAATGCTTTTCCCGCTCACGTGTTCTCTTTCTCCTACAACTCGGGATTCTAAACGAGGCGCGATGAAGCAATGTTCAGGCTAGCAAGATGAGGATGGCTGGTGTGGCAGGTAACACTGCTGTACCAGCTTTCTTCGCGTCTGGAACTCCACCGACTGGATTGGAGTCACTTATCGGACCTGTTAAAAAAAACAATCCTAATTTTAAAAGATATTAAATTAATAAAAGATTTTTAAAATACGGCATACTTGCAGAGAAACGTTAATGCATTAGACTTTTTACATATTTTCATTATTTGTAATAAATTATATTTCAATTCAGATAAAGTATTTTGATCTGTACATGGCTTCTTAAAGGACAAAATTTTCATGAAGAAATTAAACTGAAATTTTAAGGTCTTCGCAGGTTCGTATTCATGGCTACCGGGCTCCACTATTTGCGTTTAAAGAAGTCTGACCGCATTTACTGTCCGCTGCCTCTGTACCACACGGCGGGCGGCGTGATCAGCGTTGGCCAAGCATTCATAATGGGCTGTACCGTGGTGCTCAAGAATAAATTCTCCGCCTCGCAATACTTTCCAGACTGCGCGAAATATAATGCTACGGTGAGTACAGCAATAGTTATGGTCGAATACAATGAAGTCACTGCGCTTTACCACGTGTTCCATCAAATATAGACTTGCACCCTTTCATCATCGGCTGCACAGTAGTGCTCAAAAACAAATTCTCCGCCTCGCAATATATCGGGCCGACGAAACATAATGCCACGGTATATACCAACCATCTTCCCTGTTGAAATTTGGATATTTCTTAATCTCAATAGCTTCGCGTAACATCCTAGGAATGAATCGTTGTTCAGTTGTAAGGAACTGTGGTTTATCTAATGTAATAGTTTAGTCCCCCTAATGCATGTTCACACACTGCACACTTATTTTCGCGCCATATATTATTTGATATGAAACATATATGCCACCAACTTGGGAACCCATTATACAGCAGATAAAATCCCAACCCCAAGCACGCACTGTAAGATCAACAGATACTATTAGTTCTTTTTGTTTGCATGATTTGACATAAGAAGGAGAGAGAAAGCCTCACCGAGTTTGTTTCGCCGCGCCGGTTCTTCTCAGAAAGGTCTCCCAATTTTGGAACCGGTGGTAGTTTATGGTAGTTAGGGTCTAATAAATAAATAAACTTAAAATTATAAAAAAGAATTAAATAAAGTACTTTATTCATTAAATTAACTAATAAATTCATGCATAGACAATAAAGTTTTAAATATCTTCTAATGAAATATCGGAACGCTCACTCTATCGAAGGTAGCTCGACAAAGTAAATAATAAATCATTATTCTGACGACACGTTATTCCTGCAAAGGCTGCGAAACCTCAATAAATAAATAAAATCAGTAATAATAATATTTATTGACCAAAAAAACAGTGCAATAAGATTTCGTAACAAACTTAGCATTAGTTATACAGAAAATATAATTTATTAGCCTCTGCTGCTGAACTAGGCAAGGCCTGTATTTCAGTATTCAGCGCAATAAACCCCCAGAGACATGAGAATACTAAACTAGACAACATATTTTTTCTAGCTATATTTTCTTTAGATTTAAACATCAAGCAGTTACATGTTTTAAAAATAATAAAATTTATAGACAACATATCTCATAAATGAAAAGGTCAATAGGTAGCAATTCATTTTAAAAGCAAGGCATCTATCAGTATAATATATAAATTAATATATAATGTATGAAATGATGTATGGGTATATGTGTGTGTTTAACACATACACAAAAACACATGTATTTAGGTATAAGTATTTGTAGCATACGTGTATGTATCAGTTAGAATTAATCAAGTTAGTATATTTATAAAATTTTCGGTTTCATCATAAGACATTGCTTGAAGTCACTTAAAGATAACTTCTTTACATACTAACCTGGGTAATGGGTAAATATTCAACCGTTTATTAATTTGATTGTATAGAAACCTAAAAATTTAACAAACCTGTGACTGAATTTCGTACGTGTCCTCTGTATACAAGATACTGCATATTTTCGCCGAGAAGAAGTGTATCTAACCTGTTGAGACTTGTTTTATTTAGATTAAGATTAAGTTTCGCTTCGATTCGTTTTTTCTATTCTAGGGTCCTGGGTTCGAATCCCGGTAGGGCCATTCATTTGATGCATGAGCACAAAGCATGAGGATGTGTACAAATATTTGATATAGGTATATGTATGTATTAAACCCGTTTAGTCTCCATACAACAGCAACCTTAACTTAGTTTGGGACTAATGAAGATTTGTTTGCAATTTTATTTTAGTCCTAGTCATAATTATGTGACATTCGATTCATAAAAGTTTAAAAATACGATGCAGATGTTACCTTCACAGTTCCTTCGGTTTTTTCACTTTGTGTTACTCTTGACTGCGAACATGTTTCTCTTGACACAAGTTTGATTTCGTATGAAGTATTTGTCTACTTTTTTAAAACGATCTTACGTTATTGACTTAGTGATTATGGACTTCAGCGGTTATATTACATACGTGTCACCCTATACATCACACGGCTGTCATATAACATATAAACGTCAAACGGTACAATTTAATGTCACATATGTGTGACGTCATTTTATGCTCCGCCAATCCCAGGCATTTTCGGTCACGTAGATAGAAAACCATTTTCTAATACGTGATTTTTATATATTTTTCTGTAAAAGAAAGAAGCATGTAAGTATATTGTGGAACACTCGGATTGAATGAAGTTAAAAATAAACATAAGTATAAATATACAACTACACACAATACGTTACGAAGCAACTGACGGTGGTGACGGAATTTATTTACACATTTATTGGATTCCGTATCCAAAGGGTAAAAATGTGACCCTATTTAGTAATACTTCAGTTAGTCTTAGTAGACTCCGCTGTCCGTCTGTCACGAAATTGTATTTCATGAATCGTGATAGTTGAAATTTTCACAGATATAATATTTCCGTTGCCACTATAACAACAAATACTAAAAACAGAATAAAATAAATATATAAAGGAGGCTCCCCTACAACAAACGTGAATTTTTTGACGTTTTTAGCTCTATAAGTATTGATAATGGCAACAGGTAGTCGCTAGAAATATTTACAGGATATTTAGTTGTTTTTTCACTTTAAAAACAAATACTTACTTAAATTTTAAAAAAAACATTAAGGGAGAACAGAGGTGTTTTTTTGCTCGTTGTTGTAATATAGTGTTGTTGTAATATAGTGTTGTTGTAATATAGTGTTGTTGTAATATAGTGTTGTTGTATAGATAGTAGTACGGAACCCTTCGTGCGCGTGTCCAACTCGCACTTGTGTTTTTCGCCTAGTCGCAAGTCCTTTCCGTCCAAAAAGGAACTTCGTTCCCATAGTAAAAATCACTGCCAATATAGATTTTATATGCAGATGCCAACCTTTGGTACATTATTTTTAATTCTGTCTAGTACCCTTTTGTTTTTATACAGGGTTAATTTGAAAAAACCAAAAACCTTTTAGGGGGTGATTCTACCTATCAACAGGAACAACCTTTATTATGGGACCAACTCTGAAGTCGCGAAAAAAAATCAGCTGTTTCATACATTTCGGTCGATTAGCTAATGCACTTTTGTATGAAACAGCAGTTCTTTTTTCGCGATTTCAGCGTTGATCCCATAATAAAAGTTGTTCCTGTTGATGGGTAGACTCACCCCCTAAGAGGTTGATGGTGTTTTAAAATTAACCCTTTATATCTTCCCATCAGGCAGGTCATTACATCGGTGAGATGTGCCGCTACATCCTAGCCACACCGCCTTCGCCCAGCGACCGGGCACACAACGTACGCATCATCTACGGCAACGGACTTAGACCGCAGGTATTATAATAATAATTTCTTTATTTCAGGCAAAAGACCCAAATAAAAAAATAACAAAATCAATAATAAAAATAAGAACTATATATTTAGTTAATGTTAATACTAAAATTATCCAAAAATAAAATAGGACTATCTGAATGTTTATTTCAGACTGTCATTTCCAAAAAGGTGTAATTTAGTCCAATGTTTAAAAAATACATTGTCCACGTCATCATGGATGTTGCGGAGAATGGAGTTCCCACTTTCCCACAATTATGTTTTAAAATTCGTATTCAGAGACGTCAAATAATTTAATGCAATTAAGTTACGTGTTGTCTTCTTTTATTGGTATCGAAAAATGACAACATCTTAAAATTTAAAAATCTATTAACTTCTCTGAATGCGGCCGTAAGACTAAGAAAAGTAGCTTTATCAACTTAATGAGTTCGGAATCTGATTGTTTGTTAGTAAGTAATTTATGTTATTCAGTATGTGCAACGAGGATTTCTACCGCTAGTATGTATTTCAATGAAGCCTCCCCAATGAAGAGGATAGTGTTATTTTTTTACGACGATACTCTTTTATTACATGTCCCTACCGTTCTGCTCATTATACCCCAAGAGCTGACAGCCATTTTTGAGTACATCCTTGAAGCACATTGAAAATATTATTGTTGATTAGTTGCGAATGTGTGGATGATGAAATGGCCGACCTGGCTGGGAGGTTGCGGGGCGTTAATGAGCTATGAATTTTTTAATTCGCAATTTTTCTCATGCAGAAAATGTTCTTGAGGCACTTTGAATCTTACAGCATTTTAAAGTCTGATGTTTAATTAAACGATATATCATAATGCCAGGCGATTTGGTTGGGATTTAAATGGTGACAGGCGATTTAAAGTTTTATTTTTTTTTGCGCAAAAAATGTACTTGAGGCAAGCTGGGATCTATACACAATAATTGTTGTGTTGATAAGATGCCATATATCAAATGACAGGCCGTTCTGGCGGTTATTTAATCTTGCCAGGTGATCGTCAAAAGAACTGTAAGAAGTGGAAATAAAACGCAAGAAATTAAGATCCAACGTGATATGTTTGGACGAATGGTAGGTTTGTCCATGGATTATAAAATTGATATTATAAAAATTTTAAGTTATCCAATTATTCCTATTCCGATGTCCATGTGCCGCTTGGATGGGAGTATATACCAAACACAGAAATCGGTAATTGTCCAAATTTTAGAACAAGATCATAACTGTGAGAATGTACCTAACACTTTTGATGTTGCTGTCATTGACGGATTTTTCTTGTTGCACACAATGACCGATATTCCTGCTTCATTTGGCAATATATCCAAAAAATAATGCAAATGATAACAGCTACCAGATCTTCGCGTGTTGATATTATTTTTGATCAGTATTTCACGCCGTCTATCAAAGATTATGAACGTACGCGAAGGAATGAAGAAAATAATATTGATTTCAATATTACTGGTCCCAGTCAAATCCGGCCTACAGATTTTATGAAACAATTAAAAAACATAAAATTTAAACAAGCCTTAGTCAAATTTTTCATTGATCATTGGTCACAAAATGAAATGATACCGTTTATTGGTAATACAACAATTAACGTAAATTATGATCGTTGTTATTCATACAAAGCTGACGATAATTTAATTCTTATGAACATCAATGAGAGTATGACATGTGAAGATCATGAAGAAGCAGACACAAAAATAGTGCATCATGTCTGTAAAATTGATGCAGATACAACAACAAATGTACTCATAAAATCATGCGATACAGACGTATTATTGATAATGCTTGGAAACATGGATCATCTTGATAGCGACCAACTGAATATTTTTATGGAATACGGCACTGGAAATAGAAGAAGATTCATTGATATATCACAATTATATGCCAAATTCGGAAATTCAGTATGCGCAAGTTTGCCTGGCTTTCATGCAGTCACTGGGTGTGACTACAATCCTTCATTTTTTAATAAAGGCAAGCGGAGGCCTTTCCAACTATTAATGAAAAATAAACTGTATCAAAAAGCGTTTATTGATCTAGGATGTGCGCATACGACAGATTTACGCAATGAGGTTTTTAACATGCTTGAGAAGTTCGTGTGTGAAATGTACCGTGTCAATAATATCGCAGATATAAACATAGCACGGTTTGAAAAATTTTGCAAGACATTTAAAGCTAAGAGCACGGAAGAGCCTTTCAAAAAAACTGTCAAAAACTATGATCCGTCTACGTTACCACCATGTAAAGCAGAGTTGCACCAACAGCTTTTAAGAGCTCAATATGTTACAAGTATCTGGAGAAATGCACATTTACGTTTTCCAAGTAACCTAGAACCCACTGAACATGGATGGCAGCTGAAGGAGGATAAATTGGATTTTTATTGGTTTGATGGGGATTGCATGCCGCAATTAGTTATCGATGCAATTGATCCTGGGACATTTGAACACTCTGATGAAAATGCTACAGGTATGCAATAATAATTTGTTAAATACTCGCACTATTGATTGTATTTCACATTTGTTAAAAAAAAAATATTTATTTTCAGACAATGAAGAAGAGTTCATAGAACTCAACTCTATGGACGAGTTCACAAGCGACGAGGAGATTCCATCAGATATCGATGAATAAAAAAAATTACATAAAAAGTATATCAAAAATTTTTTGTAATAATTTATTTTTTTATAATAAATAATAATAAAATGATATCACCTAGCAAGATTAAATAACCGCCAGAACGGCCTGTCATTTGATATATGGCATCTTATCAACACAACAATTATTGTGTATAAATCCCAGCTTGCCTCAAGTACATTTTTTGCGCAAAAAAAAATATAACTTTAAATCGCCTGTCACCATTTAAATCCCATCCAAATCGCCTGGCATTATGATATATCGTTTAATTAAACATCAGACTTTAAAATGCTGTAAGATTCAAAGTGCCTCAAGAACATTTTCTGCATGAGAAAAATTGCGAATTAAAAAATTCATAGCTCATTAACGCCCCGCAACCTCCCAGCCAGGTCGGCCATTTCATCATCTACACATTCGCAACTAATCAACAATAATATTTTCAATGTGCCTCAAGGATGTACTCAAAAATGGCTGTCAGCTCTCCGGCTATTATTATAGTGAAACTTTGGTAGTGTTTCGTTCATCTTTACCGCGTCGTATTACATTTTTATTTGTTATTGAAAAAACAGAGTATCTATAAGCATTGGTGGTTCAGGTGGTTCACCACTAATCTCAAGAAATGAATTGTGCATCTTAAATAAAGCTATATAACACTCGAAATCAATTGAAATATTGAGAAATTTTACAGTTTTGCGTAACTGTTTATACCCACAAACAATGAAAAAGCTATTAATTAACAATTTTAAAACCAAGATATTAATGTCAAGTTCATTTGCAGATATGGGAAGAGTTTTTGAATCGGTTTAACGTGAAACACGTAATCGAATTCTACGGAGCAACGGAAGGGAATGCTAACATAGGTAAATATTGCTATGCAAATATTGACGTTTGTATTGCAGCGATGATTGTTATTCGATCTTTTTCTATTTTAAAAGTCAAATTATTTCTTTCGGATTACGGAACGGAAGTACCGTAAGGAAATAAATTTGTCTCAAACTTGATCAAATTCGTGTCTCTTTAGAAAGGAATAGTTTTTTGTAAATTGTAATAAAATTTGGTCGTATGTAATATAGTATGACATGGGTGTTGATTCTGGCATGACTCTCTAAACTTAAAACTAAATTTAACATCAGTCTCTCCTTTTCTTTCTGTATAGAGAATGACAAGGATACACTGTTATAAATTTAATTTTAGGTGTAGCGAATCATGCCAGAATCGACACCAATGAGTAGAAATGTTTGTTGTATCAAACACTTAACTTAAAGTAATATCTTTTAGAGACATGATTTTCTCTGGACGTTTTTGAAATGAAACTTCTTTACACACGCTTGACTTGGGGGGTAAGCTGGCGAATGCGTTACGCGTTACGAAAAGTGTGTTCAGACATGGCAAACGGGAGTTGAGTGGGGGATATAAGCATTAGAAAGCAGTGTGCGCGCATATTTTCTTTCTCTCTTTCTCTTATAGCTAGTTAATGAAATATGTACATATGTATGTACATACATATATATTGTACACACACATGTTTATATACACATACATACAGATGGAGCTAAAGAAGTTTCACTTCAGTCGTGTGGTCATAAGCACACTCATTTTTTTAAGTAGTCCCAGGTGAACACACAGTTCCCATAATATTTTTTTAATATATTTTATTTATTTAGCCAACACTGACGGCACGCCTGGTGCAATCGGCTTCGTGTCCCGAATCTTTCCGTCCGTTTACCCTATCGCGATCATCAAAGTTGATCAGGATACCGGCGAACCGATCAGGGATTCAAGGGGACTTTGCCAGGTAAGTTATTGTTTTTATACCAAACATAATCCGGCTTAGAAAAAACAACGATCATTTATTTAACAAAACACTTTTTCAATGGGTGTTTATTTGGCGTGATTTATTTAATATTACATTATTCTTGACGTTTTTTAACTTTTACAGGCTCTATGGTTGCTAGCCTGAACTTTAATTATTATTAACAAAACTTAAACTTCCAAATCCTTTGAAGCTCGAATTGAAATCTGCACATGCTACTTGCAACCATCTTTTACTCTCGCTTTGTCTCTTTGGGTGACCAACACCAATGAAGCTCACGGGTACCAATGACTGAACGTACCTTCCACAACAAAAAATAATTGCAAATTATATTAGGTCTATTTTTAATATAAGGCTTTTTTTGTTTTTTGGGTCGTCAACCTTAATATTAGCCTACTGACTGTCATTTAACGATTTTAGCTAGCAGAACCAGACGAGCCCGGCGTGTTCATAGGAAAAATTGCACCGAACAATCCGTCCAGGGAATACCTCGGTTACGTCGACAAAACGGCTTCCTCGAAGAAGATCGTCACGGATGTATTCACACATGGCGACCAGGCGTTTATATCTGGTAAGGAATTTGTGTAATCTTTTTTTTTTCTAATATTAGTAATACCTTTGGAATAAGGCTGTGAAATAATAATACATGAATGTTTTTTTCAAGTCGTAATGCTTAAAAAGTAGGCTTCATTTGTAAAATGATACTCAACATTTCGCATAATTACTCATTTCACAGATTTTTTTAATTTATACATTTCGAAACCCAGTTGGAACTCACGTTTCATTGTTGCTGTGTTAAACCGTCTAATGGTTAGTAATTTCGTATAAAAGAAGTAAATGTTATGACGTTTCGGGAATTTATTTATTTAGGGCCATATTTTCAGCCTGGTGACGTCATATGCTAGTAAATACAATAGGTTAAATGCAAAACCTAATTGAATAATTAAACCCCTCGGGGTGAATTTTGAAAGATCCTTTCATAGTGCGCCTCTAGACCTTATAAGGAACATACGTGCCAAATCTAGTGTCTAGACCCAGCGGTTTGGGTTGTGCGTTGATTGTCAGTCAGTCTGTTTCTTTTTTAGTGTTCCGTGCCTCAAAAGGAAAAAACGGAACCCTTATAGGATCACTTTGTTGTCCGTCCGTCTTTTTTTCGTCGTTTCTCTCAGTAACGCGTGGAGGAATCAAACTGAAATTCATATCTAATACTCATATCTACTGTCCCTTCGAGCTGTGAAAAAATCATACTTCTAAACCAAAGCAATCAAAAGAAACAGCCGTTCATGCCGCAAATTTCCGCAAATTTTTGAAACTCGCACGGGAATTAAAACCTACAGGGTAAAGTTGAAATTTGGTACGAAGCAACGTGTTATCGTACAGATAAAAGGAAAATTGCGAAAATCGTAAATTTTTAGTTACATCAAATAATAAAAATAATGAAAATTTTGAAGTTACTACCTCTTTGCTCATGAACGCGTAGAAGTATTAAATTAAGTTTGTACGGAACAGTCGGTGCGCGAGTCCAACTCGCACTGGGCCAGTTTTTTATATATTTAAATAATTCAAATACCTATCATATAATTTCGTATTGATTGATCTCCTAGGTGATATTCTGGTGGCGGACGAGTTAGGTTATTTATACTTCCGGGACCGCACCGGCGACACTTTCCGATGGCGCGGCGAGAACGTTAGCACCACGGAGGTCGAGGCTGCCGTCTCCAGAGTCGCTGACCATAGAGACGCCGTTGTCTATGGTGTATTGGTAAGTTTATTATTTATGAGAAAGTTTGAACTGACAAAAAATTAAGCCAATGCTGAATAGCGGCGAGGACGTCAGCAACAGTCACTAGGGTCGCTGACCATAGAGACGCCGTTGACTATGGTGTATTGATAAGTTTATTATTAATAGCAAAGCCAGTTTGAAGTGACAAAAAAATTAAGCCAATGAATAGCGGCTAGAACGTCAGCACCACGGAGGTCGAGGCTGCCGTCACCAGGGTCGCTGACCATAGAGACGCCGTTGTCTATGGTGTATTGGTAACAATTTTTTTTTTTTTTGTAAAGTTTGAACTGACAAATAATTTAAACCAGTGTTGAATAGCGTTGAGAAAGTCAGCACCAATGAGGTCGAGGCTCCCATCTCCAGGATCGCTGACCATAGACATGCTTGTTGCCTATGGAGTATTGGTAAGTTGAAAGTTGGAACACAAAAAAAATGCCAATGGGGAATAGGAAGGTTTTTTAGTTGGAAAGTTTTCGTAATTTGCTTGCTACTTGGTGCAAAGAGTGATTGCTCCATTCGCTCTTCAGAGCCGACGCCGATTTTTGAACAAAAGAAAAATCTACTCGCCCCAGTTTGCAGACTGGATATTTGAGACTAAAAATGACTAGAATAACACATTTTTGGAAATTTTAAAATAACTCTGATATTAAGAAAAAAAATATTATTAGTAAAGCTGTTATTTGTAAAAGTTGGCGGTCTTGGGAGCATGTTAGACGACGCGCAAGTGAAAATATTAAGCTACATCACCCACCAGTGACTATTTTCCGAGGGTAGTTTATCAAATGAGTTGTAAAAATATCATATTTGAATAAATTAAGTTTGAATTAATATTTAACTTAGATGCCGGCAATTCACTTGACTATTCGTGTTTGCTGTTTATAAACTTGATATCAGTCTGTCCTTTTAGTTCAATTCAATTAAATTTTTGTTGATTATGACTGCGTTCATTTTGTGACGATTCTGCCAATGTCCAGGTTAAAAGAGACAATGTATTTTTTTAAACCGTACGATTTTGTTTACTTTGTCACTTTCGTTCCTTATAAAGATTGATAGATAAAACGTTATTCACACCAACATGCACACATACAAAATTGACTAGACAAAATTTACAATTAGATAAATCCTTAAAACAAGCAACAAATTCTATCTATACACAGCGATACGAACGGGCGAAAACTCAGTGAAACATTTACTCAGAGAGTAAATCGCTGATTTTCAGTTATGACCGATAGATATAATACAATATTCAAATTCGGATCACTTATTTATCGGACAACATAGATCCATGTGTTAGTATATAGTACTTATTACTATGTTAGTAAATTATTTTAAAAACCGATATAACCCTATCTACAAAAAATTTAATCAGTGGACAGTCCCCACAATCCACTAAATCCCTCACAACTCTAAGATATACCATATATATAAAGCATGATATTGATATACTGGCAAGTTAACAAGTAGCAAATACGATTAGCCAAGTGAGCATTCAAGAAATTAAGTAATAATTCATAGTTGTATTTGCCTTTAGGTGCCAAATACCGAAGGGCGGGCGGGTATGTGCGGCATTGTAGACGTAGATGGCACACTAGATCTAGACGCCTTATCGAGATCACTATCACGTGATTTGCCAGCGTATGCGAAACCCATCTTCGTACGCCTGATGACTAGCGTCGATTTGACAGGTAATAAAACAAGTTTAATGCAAAGAAAATTTTTACTAGAAAAAAATTCACGCGGGACTCGAACCCGCACCCTTCGCTATTCGGGCGAATGCATTGACCATTATGCTACCGCGGCCCTGATGGCCGCGTCGCATTTTCTCTAGTATTTCTTTGGCTGCAAGGCAACGCCATTTCTTCGCATAGTTGGTAACCCACAAACCCCTGTTACCAAAAGTACGCGTGGATTTTTTTCCAGTAAATTTTTCTTTACATTTAAACATCTAGCAGTAAAATGCTAAAAAAATAAACATACGAGTTTAATTCATGTAATCATGTGTGCTTTTATTATTAAATCGATGTTTTAGTTTAGACTTATATGCCATATGGAATTCTATTCTATTTGAGTGTTAATTATATTATCCAGTTATATAGAAATGCTAGTCGGTGCCCGCGACTTCATCTGTGTGGAAATATGGTTTCCTAAACAATCTCAGAACACCTTGAGTTTGAGCCCGTTTGAGCTGTGCGTTGGTAGATCAGTCAGTAACGATTGCCTTTTATAATGATTTTTTTTTAAACGCTTTTAAAAATGGATGGACGGATGGTGTTCATAAATCCAATGTTAAACGTTAATTGTGTGTATATTCCAAGCATGTTTATCATTCTACTTATATGTTATCGATTTATGATAAGCTATCGCACAAAAATCTGGTTGCAGCATTTATAAATTGCAGCCGCACATGAGTCAACCGATTTTCCTTTGTGATGCGACTGCACAGTATAAGTGTTTTTTTTCGTAATAATAAGCCTGTGTTCTCCTCCAAAGTTCCATCAGGCGTAAGAGCGTAACAAACTGAAAGTTACTTTTGAAGTTATTATATTTGTATAGATAACTAGTGGGTGCGCCGCGACTTCATCTGCATTCTTTGATTGGTTTCCCATAGAAACTTCCACTATAAATATAAATATAGGTATATATTTCCAATATTATTTCCAACACTCACACCAATTAGCCTAGCCCAAACGTAAGCACTGTAAGGCTTGTGTTATGGTAGGCTAGGGTAACGGATAGAATACATATAAAATAATAATTATATAGAAATACATATTAAACATTCATGACTGGAGTACAACTGCTTGTATTCATCACACAAACATCTGCCCCCACTGGGATTCGCACCCGGGACCTCTCGAGCCGGCGACACCATGAAACCCGGCGTACAAACCACTTGGCCACGAAGGTCGTCGAAAAATAATATAAAGATAAAAACTACTCTATGACCTTTCCTGGGACCCAAACTATTTATATAGAGATACTATATCAAACATCTTAATCGGTTCGGTGATTAAAGAGTGAAGGGATAACAGACAGAAACAAATTTTCGCATTTGAAATATGTATAAGTATCATACTCGATAGGATATGTATGAATTTACTCACATAAGATAATAACTCACATAGTACACAAGAGTCAACTTTGACCTGAGTAGTAATCGGTCAATATTCCAATAAGCGTGCCAATAATTTTAATAGTAATAACTTATCTGTCGCATAATGTCACAACCTTTAGCTTCTACAATATCTTTTTATACAAAGTTCAAAAACCTTTTATCTCTCACCCAACAAGACACAATACAAACATTATTAACATTATAAACTCTTAAAAATGTTGTAACGTTTAGTCCATTATCATTGTCTTATCATTTTATGTCAACTTTTTTCTTATATACGCATTTATTAACTACATTTTTATTTAATTTATATTAAACTTGCTTTTACTTTTGTCCAGTATTTTTCTCACTTCCAACTATAATTTAGCGACAAAAAGTAGTTTATGTATTCCATACCAAATTTAATCGATACTGGCTCAGTAATTTAAGCAGATACATTTAAGGTTTGCAATCCTGCGTCATTTTCTCATCAATCCGGCCGGATTTATCAAATCAGTACAGTTTTTCGAACAAAATAAGTGAGTTAATGAAGTATCACTGCACATGTATGTAGATAGTTTATAAAAAATAAATCACAAATATATAGAATCGACATTATTTCCTAACCAATGTTAAGACAAATAGACAACAAGAAAACAATTTAAATTTGGTAGTGCAAGAGTAGCTCAGTCTTTCTAGATTTCACTTTCACAGATAGATCAAATTATAAGTAACAATATTAATTATCAAGTAACTATAATTTCTAATAGATACAATTAACCTTACATAATTAACTGAAATGAGCTCTAAATCATTATTAAAGTAAATACTTTATACTTAGTTTATTTTTTCAGAATCCTAACAAACAAGTCTTATAGGTATTTAAGACAGATACCATCATGATTTGATGAATCTGTCGAACTAATGAATGGCAAAAATTATCACAATAATGAGTTTAGAACTCATTAGTTTAATCAACTTACGATAAATAATTATTTTAAGTAATAGTATAACTTAATTTAAGAAAATAAAAAAATGTAATTGTAAAAATTAAAATTGTAAATTAAAAGAAAATCAATATTGATTATGAAAAAAAGATCTTAGAGAAAGACGACTTCTAATAGAGCTGCAAATATAGCCAGCGACAAAACACATTTATTTCCTTACGCGCGTGCGCGAGGCGAATGGTAGTGTCCCAAACACAGTTGTCTGGCAGTGGTACTGGCGTAGCGTAGTGGGGCGACTCAGAGACGAGCGACTCGTACGCATGAACACCACGCGTAACGCATTTATAGTACCTACTCATGCAATAGCTATATTATTTTGACACAAACTGCCAGCACCGGATCCGAAGACCCGATCCGGTATATTGGTACCGGATCCGGTAACCGTCAAATGATGCCGGGTCCGCCGGACTACCGGATCCGTTTTTTCGGATAGCAATCCCTAGATACAAAATTGCCTCTACCAAGACTGGCACTCGGAACCGTTGAAGAAGGCATGAGATTAGATGGCTGTCGTTTCACTAACCAGTCGACCAATACAGTATTTTTTTCAACCATTAAAATAAAATGTTAAAATTTTGACTGTCTTTTGTATTCCATGGCAATGTGTTTTATTTCAGGTACATTCAAAATGAAGAAAGTAGACTTGCAAAAGGAAGGCTTTGATCCGTCGTTGGTGAAAAATGATAAACTGTATTATTTAGAGGCGAAGACTGGTAAATATCTGCCTCTCGGGCCCAATGAGTATGAAATGATTGTGAGTGGTAAAATCAGGTTGTAATTATTGTTACCTATGTGATTCATTCGTCAATATTATAAAGGGCACGCGTAAACTAAGTTTCGAAACGCTTTTAATATAATTAAAATGCGGGACAATAAATCTTTAAAAAATATCTAAGCATTTATAGTGTGATTGTTATAATATTTGTTGCGTAGAAAAACAGAAAATGGGTTTACTTATCGTTATCATACAAGTGAACTTGCTTATCTTTTGCACTCGGAATAAAGAAAAAAATATGAAGTGTCACCAGACATGTTTTCTGTTCAGATAGTGAATCTAACAGCTAAATGTACTTTCGTTACGGAAACCAATTATAAGCGAAAGTAAATCTTTATCTATTGTTTCCAAACAATATTTCAGATTTAACCATACACTAATACTCGCTATGGTATCGCAAACGTCTATAGTCTATGGTGGCTGCATAGCTTAGGCATATTTTGCCACCTTTTATAATAATTACAATTATATATATTTTCAGTGTCATTTTATAGCATCGTTAGTAGCCATTCAACTGGACAAAAGACAATATTGCATGGCACTTTCGTATGCATGGTAAATTATTCGAAACTTCGGTTATGGATATATTTATATATTTGAATAGTGATGATATAAGTTAATGGAACAAAGGGTATTTGGATATAAAGTTAAAGTATAAGATAATTCGTCTACCGCTATCGACTACTAATAAGAGGTAGGCATACCATAGAGGTATAAGAATAGAGTGGGGAAGGCGGCTCTAAAAGTGTCCGTCTAGTAGAAAGAGAAAGAAGATGAGAGACCGCTAGCTATCTCTCTCTCTCTTGTGACGCATGGCATCCAATGGCATCACATCGAAATAGTAACATGCAAACGGTTGCCAATGCGCATGCGCGATTAGAGAGAGAAAGCTAGCGGTCTCTCATCTTCTTTCTCTTTCTATTAGAGGGACACTTCCACTTGTAGTAGAGTCTATATCTCCCCTTCTCTATTCTTATACCGCTATGGGGCATACTAGAGCTTTGTTGCCAAGATTATTTTATTATTAAGACTATAACAACTGTTGCTTAGTAACGTAACCAGATAATACTAACCGTTCACTGGAGGTTGAATATTGAAACTGGCCGTATGCTGTAGGGACATCTAACGTCTTTCATAGGTAATTATGAAGGGAAGTGATGTTGTATCGGATAATAATAATAATATTTTTAAAATCGATACAGTGATTTAAACTATTCTGGAATCACTTTTTTACTACATAAAATGATCGAATTTCTTCGTAGTAGTCGTCGTATAGTATTAGCGAGAATGTTGTGTACCTATATCCTTATTAATTTGATGGTTGTGGGAAACAATACAAATTGTTAATTGAAAATGAATGTGAGATAGCAATTTATGTTATTTAGAACATTTCTAAACATGACTCTATTGTTCTTTTTTAAATAAATGAAGAAAACTTCATAAGAATGATTGCAATAAGGTAATGAAGGCTTTGTAATTTTTTCATACTTTAAGTCTTTTTCATATCTTTCATCTGCTTAATTAAACATCTATACAATACTGTTATTGTAAGCATAGATCGTCTCTTGCTACGTTAATTCCGTAATTTTTTTATTCTTATGAGCTGAATTTTTTCATTTAATTTGAAAGTATGTACATATGTATACTAAAAATGCATAAAATCAAGTGTTTACACGGTAGTAACGCGAAGTAGGTAGTACAGAAGTCAATCTACTTATACACTACGCTCGAGCAGCGTACTTATAGACACCGTTTACGGACATGATATCTTGGACCGCTTGGGACCAGTGCGAGCGCGAGTTCCGTCTGCTTGAGATATGCGTGAACTTTTTTGTGCAAAAATAGTGTAACAAAACTAGTCATTACAACAGTTCAGTTGAAATGTAGTTTTTTTTAATTTGCTATATAACAATAACGTTTGAATTGAAGTGTTTTGATTATTATTGGTTATATTTCTATTCTCCCTGTTTCATTCTCATCAATCAACAAGATATGAATACCAGTACCAAGATAGTTTTCTATGCACAAGACATTGTTGACAATCCTAGCGCAATCGCCGAGCGTAGTTATAAAAAGTGAAGTACATACATGGGTTTGACTTCTGTACTATCTAGCTTGTGGTAGAAATTATTAAAGGTAACAACAAGCAATATGTTCTACACCTGTTATTGTAGTAATTTATAGTGTTTTTTATATTTTTAAGCATTTAATATTCTATGCTTACTTTTAAATCCATTGTTTCGTTTTTATGTGTATGTGATTTAAGAATATCAGAAGAGAATAAGAACAAAAAGAACAGGCACAAAATGCATTTAAAAATGGATGGAGACTTCCATATCCTACCTATTTAGTCAATTTTCTAAAAATAAACAATTATCACATTAAATAAAGGTGCTCAAAATATTACCAAGCATTATTTCATATGTATTCTCTTTCGGACTACCTATGTAGGCGGGACTCTTTCTATCTGGATTTATAGGAAAAAGAGAGAAGCCGTCAATTGTTTAACAACTTTTACAAGATAGGTACTTCTTTGGACAGGCATTTATGTATTGCATTGTTGGGGATTGCGTAGTGTTAAGTTATCATATTCATACTAAACCTTACGCTGTATGCAAAATCGTTGATAATGCGCTTCAGTATGTAGGAGAACTGTGATTTTGAAAAAGTTTTTGATTCCCACTTTTTTGATTCGAAATCAACGATTTTTGAAAATAATATTCATGCCTTCTGTCGGATGAAGAAACGACAGATAGAACGCTTTAATAGCCTTTTCAAAGCATTCAGTTTGTTTTTGAGAGGTGAAGACCAGATTTTCGAGCAATTCCGAAAGCTCTAGTTTCCATTTCGTTGACTGTGAAAAAAGTACTTAAAACGAGTTCAGAAAAGGGAGACTTTATAAAATTAGCCCTACCTTTTATAGACGGATAAAGCTGTTTAATGTAAAATAAAATTATTATTTTTAAAATATAATTATACAGCGGTGTCGGGTTAAATCGTTGAATTCAATATTTTATACTGTTATATTTATTTAGATTGTAAATTATTGTTATTTTGTTTTTATAAAAAAAAACTAGGTCTGATGTAACAAATAATTTTTATTTTATTAATTCGGGTGTTTTGTACTAGATGTAAGCAAAACGTCGTCTACTTAATTTTGTAGAAAGGTATGTTGTAATCTTGTTATCATAAGCTGTTATAGTTTAATTTTACTTTTAGCGTTTTAACAACGTTATTATTAAAGGAAACCTTGTAACAATATTGGGTAATGTTGATAAATGTTATTTTAGCTTACATTTGGAATATGGCATTCACAATTCCTTTTTATTATATTTTTGGAGAGTTATTATAGCTAGCTCGAGGAACTCCCTTGTAAATTACTCTAAGAGACAAATCAAACAACAAAAATAAGGTCAAGAAAGAATATTTTATAATTTGCGTTTAAAAACTTTAGTTTTGATTTTTAGTTGGATTATGCATTATATTCATTATCTTATTTCAATGTTACCCATTTTGTATTCCAAAAATTTTGTGTGTATGTAAAAAAAGATGTGTCGAAATTCATAGATAAGGACTGGGCGCCACTTGTATGAAATTGACAACCCTGTAGAAAGAGAGTAAGCGATAGTGCAGCCAATATCTATGCGAACTATTGGCCGCATAATTGTAGCGTCTCTTTCACACTTATCTGACCAACTTTACAGTTGGGCAACAATCGCTGGGTTAATTATCTATGTCTTTGGTCGAAATACAGCACTCTAAATACACGCAACTACAAAAGCGCAAAAATCTTCCAATCAAAAAACTAGTTGAAAGCATCATCGGCGCTGTAATTGGTTGAATATCACGCGACACGCTGCTGCTGCTGCTGTTTACGTTTGTCGCACTATGTTACGCCACCGAATATACTAGTTACTTGCCGTTTATATTTTTTTTTATTATCTCGAATATACATTCCGGTTTATTTGCTCATCGACTGATGAATCTCATTTACTTATAATCGGTGATGTTGGATTTGTTGCCTAATTAAATAATGAAAATATACATATTTTTATACGATGTTTTTTGTTTTATTGGTTTTAATACCTAGTGATTTAAAGTTAAATATCATAAAAACATGGCCTAAAATAGAAGATGCTATTGCGACGAGCATCTATCACGCTCACTGGATAAAACTTTTTTTTTTAATTAACAAAAATGCATGATACACCATTATCCCACGGTGGTAAAGCAGTTCTTGGGTCCACTTGCAGCAATTTTGCTAATATCATTTTAACTAAAACTAGATTCAACATATTCAATAATGTACCTTTGTTTAGTTTTGATGCATTGATGGGCGCAGAAGGGCCACTGTTTAATGAACAGCAACAGTCTACCACAACCACCATCACAGTCCTAGCTTATATTTCTCTGGAACGGTCATTTTGCGACATAAAGTTTAATTTTTACACCATTTTACAAGGAAATAGCGAATTGCGATTTAAATTGTGTATTAATGGCGTTACTTCAGGTCCGTGGGCGTTACAATGAAACAAGTCACTTAGAGCTTGTAAAGCTTCTACATTCTCAATGCAATGTAGAAATTCTCTTTGGCCGTTCCGTGCCCTAGTCTGAAATGACACCATGAACATAAGGAGATTCCAGTATTTTTATTATTGGTCCCGGCTGCATGCATCTGTAGCCGGGACCAATAATATTAATATTTACTAAGAAAAAAAAATGACGACCTCCGTGGCCGAGTGGTTTATACGCCGGGTTTCATGGTGTTACCGACTCGAGAGGTCCCAGGTTCGAATCCCGGTGGGGGCAGATGTTTGTGTGATGAATACGAGCATTTGTACTCCAGTCATGGATGTTTAATATTTATTTATTTATACTTATATATGTATTCTATCCATTACTCTAGCAACCCATAACACAAGCCTTACAATGCTTACTTTGGGGCTAGGCTAATTGGTGTGAGTGTTAGAAATATTTATTATTATAGAAAATATTATAATACGTACGTACCAAACGGCTTAACGTGCCTTCCGGAGCACGGAGGAGCTGAAGATAGAGTCAGTGCGGAAAGGGAATGGGATTTGGATTGGAGGGCGTTGTAGTGCTTTTCTACCGTATTTGTACCCCTTTTAGACATGATTAAATACAAAAAACCAGAAGAAATCACAACAACAAACAAATCCGTATCAATACAAAACTTTGACGTTTTATAGATTACTGGGTTTGATTGCCAAATAAAAATCTTAGTGCTAGTTCCGTTTTTCGCCACGCCCATTCTCTTTCCGCACAGACTCTAGTAAATTTTTGGTCACCCATCCAATGACCGACCACTGCGAAAGTTGCATAACTTCAACGTTCGCAGCCGAACACGCTAACCACTTGCGCCATCGAACTCCTTTGCACCCTCATAATAATTAAAGTTATTATTCTGAACCTACACATGTTTATAAATTCATGGAACTAGTTTTTATAATGGTTCGTTGTTCAGTGTAGTAACCTTATCTTCCCTTTTATTTTTCATTTAATGGTGACAGAAGGGCTGCGATTTGACTGTGTGATAGGGCGAAATACATATTATTCTTTTGTAGAGAATTTCTGTGTATTATGTGACTTACCTATGAGTATTAGAAGTTACTATGGTAGGTATCTATCATCTAGTAGACACGAGAAACTATTGAAAAGTTGGTACCTAATCTACATTGGCCCGAACAGGATCGAACGGACGGATGGGTTCAGAATTGGCAAAAGCACATCACTAGCGCAGCTACGGATTATGAAGGTCAACCAAACTATCTTTCCGAAACCTGTTTAAACATTTAGCATTTGTCATCGAAAACTGAAAAAGAAACAAGATCAAAACAACGTCAGCGACGTCATCCGCCTGAGTCATCCACGCTCCTTTCATCGTACAACCAACCGGACTCACGTTTTTTTATTGACATTCGCTGTGCCCACGTTTTTTTTATGAGTTGAGGAGTGCGGCATCGCGCGCTCCTTGCGGCGATCAGCTGTTCCATCGGCGCATGTGCGAAGGGGGAGCCCTGCTATTGTCGTGGCGCACGCACCCCAAAGCGCGCAGTGGAGTGCGGCGTGCCGTCTCGCGCGGTCGTGCGTGTACTATCGCCTATTTGCGCGCCGTATACCTGTGCGCGGTGGTTTAATTAGCGCGTCCCACTGGGCCTGGCGCCAGCACAGCATGGACGCGATACTCGCGGCTCTCGTCGCCCTCATGGCATTGGCCGCCGCGATGGCAGCGGTGCTCAGCACGCTCTCCAAAGCGGCGATCTTCGCGCTGCTCGCGGTCGCGCCGTGCCTCTATAGATATAGGAAGCGCATTTACGTGATCTTGAAAACGCTGCCGAGGGATACCAAGTAAGTGTTGTTGTGTATGATGTTTATATCATAACTCTTTAATAATATGCAGACCAAAGCTCTTTTTTTAGCCGCTCATTTGATTCGGCAGTTGTACAATATAATGCGTTACAGTTCCGAAAAACTGGTGTCGGTCTTAGAAGGATAATGCGAAATAAATTTTATTGGATTTTATAGTAAGTACGTAATCGTCATAAATATCTTACTTAAATATGCTACAATAAAAAAAATATTATACCATGAATGCGAGTGAAGATTTCAATGTACATATTCTTTAAATTTTAATAGCAGTGCAATGCACCATGCAGATACAAACGCAGCCAATAGGAACGGCGGCGGCCGGCGGTCAATTTTTTGAGTTGCTATAAAAACTATAGAAGTTTAGCTGCTTCTTACTTGATTCTTTTTTATAGAAGCCTTTCTGACTCGCATATTACTTACCTAGATTGGGGAGCAACTTTTTATCTGTTTACGTACATAAATATACATACACGGCTCCTATAAAAATAAATAAATTCAACTCGGTCGCAAATAAACCGGGTTTCAATTTCTGAGGTCAAACTCCGATTTGATCTTGTGGAGTTTTGGTGTTTGACTGTTCTTCTAGGATTAGACACAGCTAAGTTGGTTAGTCAAAACGGAGATTTAAATTAGCCAAAGGTCGATAGTTCGATACAGACGGTTCGACTGACTTTGACATCTCGTTAAAATTGGAGTTGGACTACAACAATATCATTGTTTAAATAGCTAAACCTAGAAGCGCGCACGAATATCAAAATTCAAGTTAATATTGTATGATGTTGATATTCCTTATCTATTTCGTCGTAACACTATATCTCTCAGAGCAAAGCAACAAATTTTTTGCAAGATTGTTGTCATAGTTTTATGAAATTGTAAATATGTAGTTCTTTTCTATGTTGGTTAGAATTTAGAAACTACCGGTCTCCAACCAGATTTTTGATGAGTGCAAATGTTATCTCGCGTAGATAAGTATGTATTTAGCGTGAAAATGTACAAACCACCTCTTCCTACTTGTCACAAATATCGATTTTACTTAGTGTTTTAAATACTGGCACGCATATTATTTTTAATAGCCGATGCGTAGTTAAAATTTACTTAGAATAATCGATTCGATCTCTATTTTGCTACCTTTAAGTTTTATTTTTTGTCACAGAATCTAGGTACTCAGCTTAATACCTCTCCCAGGTCTCCTTTACCTCTGTACCTAAATTCATTGAAATGAATCGTTACGTACAGCAAACTTACAGTAAATAAAACTAGTTTTAACGGATTAATGCACGAACTTTATTTATTTATTCTGACGATGCAGACCTCAAAAGGCTGCGAAACGTCAATAAATAAATAAAGTTCGTGCATTAATCCGTTAAAACTAGTTTTATTTAATGAGTGATGTGCGTGAAAACCTGGTACGATAAACTTTTTGAAACAATAATCATATTTCACTAAACTGATCTAATTGATCATATTTTTAATGGACAAAAGTTGAGCTTTTAGTTCTTTCGTGCTAAAAAATGCATGTTAGTCATCATCGGCATCGACGATAATAGCGCAGTCGAGCCGTTACCCTCCACCAATTCTCATCGGCTTTCGTGTTAGATAAATTACTCAGTTTTTACACGTCGTGAGTTTTTATCTACTAGAAGACCGAAACTAATACGATCCGAACGCAGCATTCAAAGAGGGATTGCGCTCTACTCTGCTAATGGAGTCTCACGCTAGCTAATGGAGTTGATTTTATTGTATTGTAATTGAAGCATAGAAACTGTTTACTTATATATTTACATATATATATATATATATATATATATATAACATCAACAATGATATTTACTAGAAATAATCTGATCGTGACAGGTAAACAGCTCGAGTTGAGTCGAAAAAATGGCAACTCCTGTTTAGGTACTATTTTTTTTTATTTCCGGGTTTAGGTACCTATAACGTGTACTTACAGTACAAGTTTTGAAGCACAGTTTGGAGTACAGGAAGTTTGGGATGCTGTGATTCGATACATGCACTTCACGCCTATTATTACATATAAGGACTAAGTTAAACCCATTGAGAAACGTTATATTTAAAGTGAAACTTTTATTACTTCGCCGCAATTTTTTTCGTTTATCATTAGCAAGTTGCATTACATAATACAATTATAATTGTTATTTAAAAATTCAGACCTTTACCACAAGCATCGACGGTTTAGTGGTAGAAAGCTCGCCTGCCACGCGGGCGGCCGGGATACGATTCTCAGATTAGGAAGGACTGTTTTTTATATTGTTTTAAACTTTCATGGTCACTAACATTATAGTAATATAAGTTATTTACGGGATTGTTACCATGTACCTTGTTTTTAGCGAGTTTCCGATATTTCGGCACTGTTGCAAGCGCCATGATCACGGAGTAACTGAAGTAATTGCGGGTAGGCTGTTATTGGCAGACATATCGGTCTACCCTCCGACGAAGTCTTTTATTGCGACCCGTACCACTGTTCACATTCTCACTATTCACTCGAAACTGTTCTCGACACACAACACTTACAGTATCGGATCGCGACACGACACTTTTTTGATTATTTCCGGTTTTACACATACGAACCACAGGATTCCAGACACTCGACAATTTAAACCCGTCCTCACGATTGAAATTTTTATGTTTTGTTATTTCAATCGCTTCCCTGACCAATCTTGGTATGTAGTGGCGTTCTGTCGAGATAATCTGTGGGTTATGAAACTCAATCCAGTGGTTAGAACCAGAATCAATCAAATGTTCCGCGATGGCTGATTTCTGCGTATCGTTGTTCTTGATTGCTTTTATGTGTTCCCTCATTCGGCATGATACATACTTACAAGCTCAACGTACCAGGGAACTAAGCGCTATAAAACAAGATCGTAAGTTCGAGTTGTTGTTACAAAGACAAAAGCCGGATGTCCCCTACCACGAGAACTCACTACCAACTCGAACGGTAATCAATATGTCAAGTATTGAGTTGTCCGACGCTGCACAGTCTGTTCTTGAAAGAGGGATGAATTTCGCCGTTACACCTAGACGTATTCCCTATGAGGAAGTGATTGGGTCAGTTGAAGAGGGTGTCATACGTAATAAAATACCAGCAGTAGATGCGGATACGCTCAGGCAAGATGTCGCTGTGGTGTTACGTCATGCGAGGCCACCAAGACCGAACATTACTTCTTCCGAATCAGTGGCCTTGAGAGATCTTCATAAGAACAAGAATATACTAGTACTAAAAGCTGATAAAGGGAATGCGACAGTCATAATGAATACCAGTGAGTATGAAAACAAAATCCAGAGTCTACTCACTGACGAACACATATACAAGAAGGTGAATTACAACCCAACGGCAAGGACAGATCGTAACACTCGCTCACTCATAAAAGAATGCGCCCACGCTTTAGACGATGACATTGTCAAATATTTATTACGTCCTAGGAACATCCAGCCTCCAAAACTATATGGTCTGCCGAAAATCCATAAGCCAAATGTGCCCCTACGTCCGATCGTGAGTCAGATAGACTCACCTACATATGAACTGGCCAAGCACGTGGCAAAAGTATTGCAGCCGATAGTGGGACGAACGTCGTCGTTTGTGAAGGATTCCCGCCATTTCATAGAAATCTTACACCAAAACAAGGTAGATGAAAATCAGTTGATGGTCAGTTTTGACGTAGAATCGCTGTTCACAAATGTACCTATGTTGGATTGTCTGGAAGTGGTGAAGGTGAAGTTGCAAGAAAATGACATCCCGAAGGAATATGCCAAGCTGTTGCATCATTGTTTGTCGATGAATTTCTTCATATATCAGGGTCAGTACTACCTCCAAATAGATGGGGTCGCAATGGGCAGTCCCGTGGCTCCAGTGGTTGTCAATATATGGACGGAGCATTTTGAAGAAAAATCATTTATCACCGCACCCACAGAAATAAAACTATGGAAGAGGTATGTCGATGACGTATTCTGTATATTAAGAGGTAACAAACATGATGTCGAGTCTCACTTGGCAAATTTAAATGGTATCCATTCTAAAATCAACTTTACCTATGAGATGGAAGAAGACAGAAGTCTGGCCTTTCTGGACGTGAAGATTCGGGTGAGGAATGACGGTTCGCTTGGTCATTCCATTTACCGCAAATCAACACACACTGACCGCTATCTCAACGCCTCCTCGCATCACCACCCTAAACATCTTAACTCTGTAATGACTTCACTGACGAACCGTGCATATGACCTGTGTGATGAGGAACATCTTCAAGAAGAGTTGGAGCATGTACGACGAGTCTTACAGAGTAATGGATACCAGGGACATTTTCCATCAAGACACAAACTAAGACACCAGAGACACAGAGTAGACAGACAACCTGTTTATTTACCATACGTCAAAGGAGTGACTGACAAGATCTCAAACATACTGAATAAGTACTCACTAAACACTGTCTTCACTCCTGTGCGAAAGGTTTCACAATACCTACGGTCTCCTAAAGACAACTTCCCCTTGGAGAAACCTGGTGTCTATAAGATCGATTGCAGCTGTGGCAGTTCGTACATTGGCCAAACAAAGCGAACAGTATCATGCCGAATGAGGGAACACATAAAAGCAATCAAGAACAACGATACGCAGAAATCGGCCATCGCGGAACATTTGATTGATTCTGGTTCTAACCACTGGATTGAGTTTCATAACCCACAGATTATCTCGACAGAACGCCACTACATACCAAGATTGGTCAGGGAAGCGATTGAAATAACAAAACATAAAAATTTCAATCGTGAGGACGGGTTTAAATTGTCGAGTGTCTGGAATCCTGTGGTTCGTATGTGTAAAACCGGAAATAATCAAAAAAGTGTCGTGTCGCGATCCGATACTGTAAGTGTTGTGTGTCGAGAACAGTTTCGAGTGAATAGTGAGAATGTGAACAGTGGTACGGGTCGCAATAAAAGACTTCGTCGGAGGGTAGACCGATATGTCTGCC